AGAGCTTTTCCAGTGAGAATTGACATAATTGCAAATATGATTTAAAATTCAATTGAAATTTATTCTTTGGCCAGTTCATTTTCAATTCAATTTCTATGTCAATTTTTTCCACATTACAGGGTGTTCACCATGGTCCATGTTAAAATATGAGAGCTCTTGGAAATAATACACTGACTCGAGTAGTGGGTAGGTCCTGAGTATCGGGTGCCTATGATTGGCAGGCATGTCGTGGTCTGTTTCGGTTGAGTTACACACTTTAAAGATATTTAAACCTCACAAGGACAGTGTTACTGAATTATTGACCTCATTTTACATAAAAAGACTGAGGATCAATTGACTCAGTGATTGAGAAATTTCCCCAAAATCACAAAACTGGCTTTCCAGAGAATTAAGATGAATCCAGCCTTACATTTTCACCACCCCATGGTAGTGAAAAATTAACAAAAAGTTAAAGAACAACAACCACAATAATAAAGACAGCAGTGACTAACATTTATTGACTTATTTCTATGTTCCAGGCACTAGTCTAGGTGTTTTACGATATGAATGTATGAAGTTCTCAGAACCACCTCATGAAGCAGATGTTAGTGCTCTCATCATTTAGCACTTGAGGACGATAAAATGCAGGAAGGCTAAATGTAAACGAAGTGTTATCCGAAGCTAAGTCATTGACGTTGCACCAGAGCGGGGAGCACTGACCGCCTCTTTCAGCACTTCCTATTGTCATTAGGACACTTGGCTCACGCTTCTGCTCTATGAACTCATTGTTTCTTTCAAGCTGAGTTTTGGGAGATTTAGTTTTTCCTTTTTCTAACTATTTCTCATTGGGAGGAGAATATGACATTGTAGATATTAATCAGTAATGAATAAAAATAAAGTGAGTTAGAATGAGGACACAGACAATCACAGACTCCCGATTTGCAGTCAATCTTGTTGATATGAACCTGTTGTGCCTCACAGTATGCATAGAAACGTCAGAACCTTTAAACGGAGTTATCATAGTGAGATACTTGACTGCACGATCCACTCCTAACCCAACAAATATACTGGAAATGGTTGCACAATCTTTGGTAACTAAGCAGTTAAAAAACATGAATTGACTATACTGAATAGTCATATGTATTTTTCTGCACCTGTAAACCCATTGAACAAAGAAGATTATTTCATGGAAGGGTTAGAACCAAATATCTGCATTCCTAATAAGTGATTTAAATTGTATTAGCATCAATATCCAAAAGACTGTGAACGATAAATGCTGGCGAGGTTGTGGAGAAAAAGGAACTCTCATACATTGTTGGTGGGAATGCAAAATGGTGCAGCCTCTATGGAAAATGGTATGGAGGTTCCTCAAACAATTGCAGATAGATCTACCACATGACCGAGCCATCCCACTGCTGAGAATATTCCCAGAGGAATGGAAGTCATCAAGTCGAAGGTATAACTGTTCCCCAATGTTCATTGCAGCACTCTTTACAATAGCTAAGAGTTGGAACCAGCCCAAATGTCCATCATCAGATGAGTGGATACGGAAAATGTGGTTTATCTACACAATGGAATACTACTCAGCTATAAAAAAGAATGAAATACTGCCATTTGCAACAACATCGATGGACCTAGAGAGAATTATATTAAGTGAAACAAGTCAGGCACAGAAAGAGAAATATCACATGTCCTCACTTATTTGTGGGAGCCAAAAATAAATAAATAAATACACAAAAAATGGGGGCAGGGAGGGAAGAAGACACAACAGTTACAATTCCTTGAAGTTGATATGACAAGTGAACAGATATGAGGTTGTTGGGAGGGAGGGGGGTGGGAGGAGGGAGGGAGGTTTCGGTAATTGGCCACAATAATCAACCACATTGTACATTGATAAAATAAAATAAAATTGAATAAAAAATTGTATTAGTATCAAGCTGCTATATAATCATGGTGACTTTCATATGGAAAAGATACTGTTCAGTAGGATTTTTGTGAAAATTGCCTGAATTGTGCCATATTGGACTCCTTTCAACCAGAATGTGAGTTTTGATGTTGTCTTGTTTAACTTATGATTCGAATGCTTTGAGATCAATATGCCTATTGTAAAAGATTTTATAGTATGGTTAAAAGGATATTCTAAAATACTCTGAATCAAATTCTTCTCCTAAAACTTCTGTCAGACTTAACTTTTCTCTGTTCATAAAAATATGATTACAGACAATCATTTAAAGTATGATTCCTAAGTATGATGATAACTACTTGATTAGAGACTAATAATTTTAGATTCACAGTCACAATTCCTTTGGAATAAACTGTCAGTTCAACTACTGAAAAATTGTTTAATGTGAAAAATAAAGACGTTAATAGATACAGATTCTATATATTCTGGCTAAAGTTATTTAGATATTGTAGTTCAGTATACAGTACATATTGTAACACAGATTGCATACTGTATTTTACTATACCTTATTTCTAATTGAGATAATAATTTGAAATTATTTATCAAATACTGTATCCCTTTCTTTATTATGTTAATCACAATATATAGTCAGTAGTAAAATCTTTTAGCTTACTTTTCCTGCTGTGCTCATGTTGTTTCTGTGTTCCTGCACACCTGGAGATGAATCCTGCAGATGTCCTCCTGGACCCAGCACATGAATATATACTGCAGAGTTACGTCGTTTGCTTGCCCAATTGCACATGTGATCTGGTTCTTTAAGCCACACCCATCAGCTATTCTCAGACCAAGTGAAATCAGGAAGAAAAGGGCCCCGAATTAGACTTCTACTTTAACTCTGTAACATGTCCTTTCATTTTCACTAGGTTAAATATTTCTCTACGTGTTAACTTTAATCTCTCCCCTCTCTCACCTCTTATCTCTCTCTTTCACATATCATGTTTTTCCCCTCTCTATCTTGCATAAGTCATTCGGAGTTCTGCTTTTGCTTTCTCGTGGCCTGCTCTTGTCTCTGAGCTTGAGTCCACAAGGTGCAGCTAGGAAGGAGGGGAAGGAAGCAGGACCAATGAGTAGGACACAGGTGGTGGAGCCAGAGGAGCGAGTTTGATCCAGCACTTCCTTCACTAGTGGAGTCAGACACCCCGCCAGTCACAGCAGAGGGGCTCACCGTCCCTGGCATTTCTACTCCACGCAATACCAGCCAGCACTGACTGACCACCTCCCTGTGCCCGGCACTGAGCTGGGTCCAGAAGGTGGCAGTGATGAATAAGAGATGGCCTCTACCCATGCTGAGAGACAGTGTTGGGCAGTGGTTATGGCATGCCTGTGGGATCAGACAGACCCTATCCCTTACTAGCTGTGTGAGCTTTCTCCTCAGAAAAATTTTAACATGTTGTTACTTTCCAAGAAACTCACAGATTATTACTAGCAATATCTCACTTTCCCAGGGTGCTTACTGTGCTAGGTGAGGTGCACGCATGGCATTCAACTCTTAGGTTTAACATGTGGGGATACAGGGCATGATGGCTGAAAAGAGGTGCCTGGATGTGTTCCTCCCACAGAAAAGGACCAGAACAGCTAACATATAGCTAAATACCAATGCGAGTGTCTGTGAGAGAGCCCAGGAGTGCCACACGACATCTCACATCGTCCACACCAGTGTAAAAATCTGGGAGCACCAACAGCAGGTAGTGTCCCATGATGTTCTCTTAGGGATATTCTGAAGCTACATTGACCCTGAGTATCTCCTTCAGCATCTACGACAGAAAAATGAAATGTTTACTACATGTACTTGGAACTTCACAGTTGACAAAGCCCTTTCACTAGCATAATCGCATGTAAACTGGATAAAGCTGTAAGGGGTTGGTAGAGGAATTTTTTAAAAACCTAGATGGACAGGCTGAGACGCTGAGTGGCTTACTGAAGGTCACATAGTAAGTGGCAAATCATTTTGCTCTGTGTCTAGGGTCCTTTCCACAATGTAGGGTTGTAACAAAGCAAGAAATAAGTCTTTTGAGGAGAGCCATTAACTCTACTGAATATCAGCCATTAACTCCTCTGAATACGAGTAAACTTTTCATTCCACATTTAGAGAGAAAGCTCAAAATGCCAACCTTCCTCTGAGAGTGGGAAAGCATTAATAAATAGGGGCCATAGCATTTACATATCCAAATATTAAAGTAATTCTAGCATGATTGGCTAGGCTTAAGGCATGGTAGTTAGTAGAAAAGTTCCAGATTGAAAATAACTTGCAAAAATGTAAGTCTGTATATGTGTGTAGATCAACTTAGAAAATATATTGCTATAGGTGTTTGTGCCATTTCTTAGTTACCCATTCAAGCTGATGTTTTCACAGCTGCTTTTATCCTGTCCCCACAGTTCACGCCACCATAATATTTTTAATTACCTTATGCCTCATGTTCAGTCAATTGTAATCATTAACTAACACTATTTAATTAATAAAGCACATTCATCAATAAAAATTAAAGGGTTTTTGAACATGATTCCAGGAATAGTTCTGTCTCACATTTAGTGTTTGAACCTTGTATCTATCACATGAAGCATGAGACCTCCTTTTATTCAAAAGAACAATTTTGTATTTATTGCAAGCCAGTAGTATAAAAGGAGTAAAACACTTTCCTTCACTGTGTGAAAGTGTGTGATATTTCCTTTGAGTTAGTAAATAACCTCCTATATTTAGAAGTTCTGGATCTTCTCCTCTTATAAATGAATGTCTATCCTTTACTGTCGCATAGTTTTTATCTCAGAGCTTTGGTGTATTTCATAGAAAGGGAAATACAGACAGTGGAAATAGGTGTAGAAGTAGACCACTTAGAGCCCGATAGGTCATCATGTGTATGTTGGGGGCAAGTGGAGGGTCCCCTCCACTGAGTTTCAGTGACTGAGGGTTACAAAAAGCAAAAACTTCAGGAAGTCACAAGAAGTATATGTCCTCAATGAAAAAGAGACGATAGTAGAATGATTAAGAAGGAAAGTTTATTGACTTCAATTCCCCAGGTGATATTCAGCACCTCATTGAGAGAGCTATCTGGTTTGGATTTAATGTTTGAATGAAAATGATTTCACATCAACATTGGTTTCTTCTGGAAAGCCCCTATGTTATGCATGTTATTGATTAATTGATTGATTGATCGATTGATGGCATCTCTGAAGAATAGAGTTCATGAGGTTGACCAGTTGGTGTTCCACGTGACACAGGATGCAGGAGGCAGAAGATGCCACAAGGGCAGACATCTGTATGGTCTCAAAATGTCAGGATGGTGCGGATACTGCAATAGGAAAGAGAAGATATTGTGTTGACATTTAGACAATTCACAGTCTTCCATGGGAGAGTCCAAGGAGCCCTTGAAGTGTCCCAGTGAAAATCTCTGTTTTTCCAGCCACTCCATTCTCATTTCTTTGCATTTAGGTCAAGTCAAGTAAAAGGGCAGTTCATCTTTTCCTGCTCTGTCTTGTGTTTTCTCCAATCTTAAGCTTACTCATAACATCATGAGTGCCACTGTCATTTAGAGTTCAATTCTATGTTATCATCCTTAGGGATTCATTTTTGAAAGCCCATGTGCCTGGAATAATGAGGAATATAAACCACAATGACTAATAATGTGTAATAACTTCCTGCTATTTGCAGGTGCTTTTAATGCATTATGCTATTCAAATCTCAGCCTAAACAACAATGCTACGAGGTAGGTTCTCATATTATTTTCATGTAGAGACTATAAAAGCTGAGACTTAGAGTTGTAACTTGCTCCAGGTCACACATCTCGTGTGGGGTGTTGAGATTCAAAGCTAAAAACAAAGTTGCACAAATTAGAAGATGATAGATAACTTGCAGGAAAGAAGTGATCATTTAATTATGTTAAGACCATGTTGGAGGTCTAATAGAGTTTTGATACTGAGATGATTAAGGATTCTTCAAAGAGGATAATAAATTTGATTTGTATTAATTCTTCATTCTTGTGAAGATAAGAAATGTAGCATTTACACTGGAAATAACACCTGTCTAAAAATCAACTTTTAGAAAATGATAATCTTGTCTCCTTAAAAATGTTTACATATATATGTGTATGTAGTACATGTATATAATAACAAGATATATACATAATGTAGAAAATACAGGAGAGTGTAAAGAGGAAAGTAAAAATAATCTGCTATCCCACAACCTAGAGATAAACATGTTAATATATTCTTGAATTTTTATCAACTTTTTCTAGACATGGTGCATTTTTTATTGTTCTTTTTGAAAATTTGGAATTATATTGTCTATAGAATTGATATTTCTATTTTATTAGTCTACAGTGACATAATGACAATTTCCCAGTGCAGTGAAATTATTTCTTTTTAATGGCTTCATTGATTTATAAAGCTTGTTTGGAATTTATTTAACCATTCCCTTAATGTTGGACTTTTAGGATATTTCTGATATCCTAGAATATTTTTGATATTATAGATAACAGGTAAACATGCTTAAACATGTGTTTAAACATTTGATTATTTATGTAGAATACATTTCTAGAAATGCAATTACTGGGGCAAAGGGTCTAAGAATTTATAGGTTTTCTATAGCAAATTACCAAATGGCTTTCCTTAAAAACTGTAGAATTAATATTAGTAGAAGTACTATATGAAAGTACCTATGTCACCTTACCCTTACCACTGTTGACCATAACAGTTTTTAATCTTTGCTTATTCTTAGGATTTATTACATTTCAATATGCACATTCAACTATATGACATTGTCATGAAGTGAATTTAGTTGATCTAAAAAATTCTTTTGTTGCACGACACTGTCTTCTGGTTTTGATCATCTGTATATTTGTCATCAACTCTCCAACCTGCTGGAATGATGAAAGTTATAACCAACATTTGATGACTGTGTTCTATGCATGGTTTAATAGAAAGTGGATTGGCTTTGCTAACAAACAGATCTAACTTGGTTTTTGGCTCCCCTGACTACCACCTGCATGATATTAGCCAAGTCATATCCTTTCTGAATCCCAGTTTTCTCTTCTCTAAGATAGTGAAATTGGGACTGGCATATCAGACTTGTTTGGGAATCACATGAGATAATGCAGGTTAGACACTTAGTACAGTGGGCCAGTTTATTCCTCCTTCAATAATATTCGTCAGATGAAGTATCTGGAACACTATGTTCTGTGAGTGCCTAAGAAATGCTATTTAAAGTTGAAAACCTCATAGAAAGAAGTGTTGGGTAGCAGAAAAAGCATGGACTATGGCGCTGAAAAGTGAAGATTTGACTGTCTGTTACTAGTTATGCCTCATGGAAATGAGGGTGACAAAATTCATCTTCTTAGGCAGTTGCAATGTTAAATGTTAGAGGTGAAAAATTCTTAGTAACCTGAAAAAAGAAATAACAATCATTTTTAAAATGAAAAACTGTAAGATTTGTATAGAAAAGAATTCCAGTGTAGATTCACCTACTTCCATAATGAAAGTTTTGTGGTTGCTGTGAATATGATTTAAATTTACAGCCATTAAATTTCAGCCTTATTTAGGTGGCCAGGCAGAGACCTCAGTGACTCTATGTTATAATTATGATTGTGTGACCGTTCTTTTTAATCAAAGGTGAGTGTTCTCTTGTAAAGAAGGCTGAGTGGCTCTGGTCATTCACAGTCGCTATAACCAACATAATCTGACTTCAGCAGAATAGGACACACAAAACACTGTTCTTGGCTTCTCACAGTGCGATGTTAGAGGTTTTACATGCAGAGACTGAACTGGTGATGGAAAACCAAGACACTCCAATTGGTTCTCATCCTCTCCATTTTCATTCTCTGTTCATCAAGCCCCTACCATAAGGAGAAACTTAAAATCTACCTCTTTCCAGAACGCAGCAGGTCAAATCCTTCATTTATTTTTTCAAAAGGTAAAACATGGGTTATTAATGGATCCAGAGAAAACTTCTTAGCCATAAAATCAGCAACGAGTTTGGGAATATCATCTTTACTCTTAAATCCTGAAAAGGAGACATATCATGGGTAGATTCATCCACGAATAAGTAGTAGAAATGGAGAGGAGACTTTCCAAATAAAATTAAAATGGAAGTTTATAAAGAGTGCTGCATTCCACAGACTGCTATTACTGAGGTTGATAAGAGATAGAGTGCTTCAATACCCTTTTGAAGTGCTTTGGCTTTTAAAAGAGTCCTTAGTTACTATCTCTCTCATAGAGAAATTACAGTACAGATGATTATGTACTATTATTAATCATAATCATTTAATTACGATTGATGTTAAGGAGCAAATACAATAGTTACTTATATTTGGGCAATGAGTATAGACATAAATGATTGCTGTAGATTTCCAAGTGTAAAAAGAATGGTTCTGAACTGTCCTAATTAGTTTATGGGGACACCAGAAAGTTTATCTTGGTAACTTCTGTCTGCATTAGATCCACATCTAGTGGATTTAAAATCTATAGAGCCAACAGGATTTTCAGCTTATTTTTACTCCATTGCTTTTCAAAACCTGGATTATCACTTGGAAAAGGTAAAAAGTTCATAGGATAGTTAGAATTTGGCCTGAAGCCTAAGTACATACCACCAAAAACTGCTCCTTTCCAGGTGCGTCCAGTCAATAGCAGTCCAGGGTGTATTGAGAGGTCTTGGGAATCTGGAGGTACCCCTACAATGACACTTGTGCCACATGAGTAGTGGCAGCATAAAAGGGCAGCCAGCTGGAATAAAATCAATAATTAGTATCCTTACAGTAGACCCTTGACAGTCCCTACTCATGACAGAAATTATCGTGTATTACTGACTTAGCTAGATTGTGAATGCGTGAAGGGAAGAGATTATGTCTTTTGCTTCTCATTTTCCTTCCTGATGAAGATAGTGCTATGGCTTTAGGAAATGTCCACAATATTTTTAAAGGCAAAATGAATGAATGAATTTTGTGTTTTTAATTCTTCCTTGTAATGTAATAAAGGGGCAAACATCATTATAAACATGCAGAAGTCTAGTTTCTGAAATAGAGCACTGTTTCCTCATCACATGATTCTCGGGCAATCAAGGAGTTGCTTCATTCATTTATTAGGTGGGTATTTTGAATGTGGTACTTTGAGCCAGGTATTGTGATGGTGAACAAAATATAGTAATTACATCATCATATTTTGTCTCTCATCCAGTTGATGGTTTCCCTTTTTAATGGATCCCTATTTTACTGTCCATTTCTAAAATGGACATGTTGAAAATGTATTTATCTCTCAAAAATACATATTGCTTTTATTTTAAACTACACCTATTATTTTGGAATCTTAAAAGACAGTCTAGAAAGTGTTTCCCCTGTAGTCAGGAGTTTGAACACATTCTGTATTAAGAAAATGGTTTAGGATCTCTTGATATACATAATGATCAGTCCTTTAATTTTGAATTATGACATTTAGAAGACCAGATATCCTCAGAACTAGTGGCTATCAGACATTTGGTATCTTCAAATAAAATAACAATCCACTTCCCCATACAAAAGTGGAGGGATAACAGTAGAAAAAGAGCATAAAGAGGAAAGATATAGCCTTGGAAATAGTTGGATTATCTTAGAACTTCAATCATCTCTGTGTACTCTCCCAGTGCAGGCTGCCAGGGGCAATTTTCCCCTCAGGGTGCTGCTGCCCATTACCAGCACTGCTGGGACTTGCTGGAGAACTTCAACAGTGAGGACTTGTTGGTTTCTGGGGACTTTTTCAACAGGATTCTAGAAAAAACTTGTTAGGTGAAAGATAGCTGGAGATGTGTTCCCCATAGAAATTAATGATTTTGGTAATTATTAGAAAGTAATAACATGTATATACAAAGATGATGTGGGGACTTCAAGAGTGGAAATAGTATTTCATGCCAATAATGCCAGCTGACAATTACTGAGATCTTTACCACATGACAGATAGCACTGTGCTAAAGATTTTACATGTGTTATCTCATGTAATCCACAGACAATGCTATGAGATATGCATCTCTAAATTTGGGGGGTGGTGAATTCTGTTGACTCTTTAAAGTCTTCAGTCCAACATAGATATTGGTTGCCAGTCATGTGGTAGGCATTGTGCTGCCTAGGTGGTAATACATAGCGAGGCATTAAATTAGTCACTTTCTGTTAATACTTGCCCTAAAATTCCTTATTATTTCTTCTGGCCAGAATATGATATGTGAAAAAGAACTGGAATTCATAAAAACATATAAAAATTGTTAAACTATTTTTGTTAAGAACGTGGGAGAAAATAAAACTTGCCAATTTGAGAACAGCGTGTGTACTACTTATATTTACTTGACTTTGAAATTTTTTACTAAAAATTTATAATGGAAATTTTTAAGGGCTTAGTGGAAAATAACAAGCTTTTTTTTCTCTGTTTAAAGATGAAATATAATTGAGACAGGATTGCTTAGCTTACAGAATAAAAGATTTCTCACAGAAATAAACAATCCAGGTAACCAACAAGAGATGGAAAATTGCCATTTATCCTTTAAAAATATTTATTTTATATTACATATATATTATATTATAAATATAATATTTATATTCTGCTTCTTAAGCATTCTCCAGACTGCAGAAGGAGAAATCTCTAGGCATGTCATGGTACATACCATGGTGTCAAGCCGACCAATGACCTCAAAGGAAAAATCCACACCTCCATCGGTCATTTCCTTTAGCACATCCTGGATGGGTTTCTTGTAGTCTTGAGGGTTGATGCACTCAGTGGCCCCTACCTCTCTGGCCTTTGCAAATTTGTCCTTGTTGATGTCCACTGCAATGATCCTGGATGCTCGGGCTGCTTTACAGCCCATGATAGTGGACAGACCCACTCCTCCCAGGCCAAACACAGCACAGGTAGAGCCTGGGGTGACCTGTGCTTACAGAAAATGCACAAATGGATCAAGCAATCAATGATTGTTACAAAGTGCATTAGCTTTATACATAGCCATGCCTTGTCCGTTAGCAGGGGCTAACTGTGATGTTCAACCTGCTGTTAAAACTTCTTTGGGCTTCAGTTAATTCATGTTTAGATTTGAGGAGGTTGAACTAGTCCAGTGGTTCTCAAACTTGCTGCACATTAGATTCATGAGAAACATAAAAAAATCCCAATGAAATCAGAATCTCTGTAGGTGGAACACAGCCCCCAGGTGACATTAATGGGAAACCCAGGCTGAGAACCAGTGGGCTGGATGATCTTTGAACTCTAGACATCAGTGACTATGATCTTGAAGAAAATATCAATGGCTAAAATCTATCTACAGCTAGCTTCACTGTCTCGTACATACACAAGGACAATTTTCAGAAAATGAAATAAATGGAAAAGGTTACTCCAAGTGACTGAAAAATAATCCAGTCAAACTCTCAACAATTCACTCCTTGGCTGATTAACTTTCAGCAGTCATGACCAATATAATGAGAGCAGTAATTAGCTTTGACACATTGAAGAGTTATCCTTGGCTTAATGCAAAGCCCAAACAGGGAAAATTCAGCATGTACCTTTAAGATAATGAGAGGGTACTTCAAAACATTCATGGAAAGATTTGTATTGTCTTTTAATTCTATTTTTTCGTAATCTCTTTGAAATACTCTCATACAGCTTGAGACCACTGTGATCTTCATGCGTCTTTATCCCTGCTTTCTAAAATGCACTAATGAAAATAACGCAACAAAAGTTGGTTTATATTTTAATAATGAATGAAATTTATTATCATGAGTACTGTCAGCTTCTGCTGTGTGGGCAAGGTCACTTACACCACCTGCTCCATCAGAAGAGACAATGGTTCAAGGGACTTAGTGCTAAAGTCACGGAAATTTGGAAAAGATGTGATTTAAATAGTTTACGTTGGCCAGGGGCTGTTTAATGAACCTAGTCCTCTCTGGTCAGAGTGGATAATATGCTGTTACTGTTCTGTGTGATCTCATTGTTACATTCCCTTAAGGGTGTCTATGCACTCATTCATTCACCAAATTTTATTAAATACTGTGAGGTACAAAACCACTTTCCACATTACTTAGAAAAATACGAGGCTTGTCACTATGATTTTAAAATGCTAGTGATTGAGTATTACAATTTAACATCCAGTAGGAGATCTGAGAAAGATATTCTAGTCTCAGCTCTCATAGTAACTAGCTGTGAGATTTTGGGCAAATGGTGTTGTGTCTCTGGGTCTCAGTTACATAAAATGAAAGATATTACTGGATTTTCAACGTTCTAGGAAGAGGAGCCCTTAGAGACTTTCTCCTTGAAACATACCACTTCTAAAGTGTGTGTGTGTGTGTGTGTGTGTGTGTGTGTGTGTTCATGGCAGGGGAGGAGAAGCACCAGTGAAATCTCATAATAAGTGGAGCAAATGCATTATTAAAGATTCATTTACTTTCCTCCCAGGAATCCACAGAGCAGGTGACCCTCAGTTTGCAGGTGTATCAGGTAAGGATTTGGAATTTACTTTTGATTGTAATTCTGGGAGTGGGGGAACCATGGACTAGATGCTCCTCAAAGGCAAACACTTCATTTCATTTACTTTTGCTGCCTCAGAACTTAGCAGAATGTTCTGCACCTGATGAATGTGGACGTGCTCTCTAATTGTAGAATGAATGACTATATGAGTTCCCAGCCCCCAAATGTAATAGATCCAGAAAGAACAAATATAGAATAATTACTGAAAATGAAATCTTTACTTTTTCTTAACTAAGTATCAACAAATTTTCATCTGTGATGAATGGTGACTTTTCAAGGACAGACTCTCAATTCTTTGGGGGCCATTTTTCTTTTTTTTTTCCTTTTTGTCTTTTTCCGTGTCCGGCAACGGATCGCAACCCTCGGTGTTGCTCCCGCGCCTCGCTCAGCCAGTGAGCGGGAACCGGTCTGTATGTGGGATCCGAACCCTCGGTGGGAGCGCCGCCGTGCTTCCCAAGCGGCGCACTATAGTAGTGCGCCACCGGGCCGGACCTGGGGGCCATTTTTCTATTCATAATCCATACCCCAAGTCTATGAAGTATCATCTCTGAGTGTTGTCAGCAATTGCTTCCCTTTCTGTTTCTGAACAGTCTGATTGTAACTGATTCTATGGCCCATTGTCATTCCTACCTTGGCAACTTTGATGGCAGACCCATAACCAGTTGAAAATCCACAGCCAATGAGGCAGACTTTCTCCAGTGGTGAGGCTGCATCAATTTTGACGACTGCAATCTCATCCACCACTGTGTACTGAGAGTAGGAACTGGTAGTTAGGAAGTGATGGACGGGCTTCCCCCTGCAGGTGAACCTGGTGGTGCCATCCTGCATGGTCCCACGAGGATTGCTTAGACTGGTCAGTGGAACACACAGACACACAAGGGCATGAGATAGGAGTGTAACTAAGGTGAAAACTCATGGGCTGTGCAAAGACAGTATTAGAAACCTACTCGTTTTTCAAGCAGAGGTTGCTTTCCGGGTGTTTACAAATTCTACATTTTCCACATTGGGGATTAAAGAGCGGGATGACTTTGTCACCTGGAGGGATATAAAATAAATTCTTAAATTTCTATCCAGGAATTAATAGAGCAAGAACTTGAAGCTAACATGTGTGTACTGGAGGAGTGTGTCTTTAAAAAGAATTAGAGTCTGATCATAGCTATGTCATCAGTCATTGCCTGTTAGTTATTGGTTTGAGTTTATACATGCCTGAAAATTCCTAAGAGGAAATGCAAATGCAGAAAACAACATGGATTTCAAAAGTTATTTCCAGTGTATTAGTGGTTAACTTTTATTGCATGCCTGATTTCTCCTGTGGTTTTTACAACCATCATCTTATTTTATCCTTAATTAATTAAACCTTAAATTTCAGTGCAAGTATAAATATAAAATTTTTTTTTCCTTTTTGTCTTTTTTCGTGACTGGTAACGGGATCGCAACCCTCAGTGTCGCACCCGTACCGCGACCGGCAATGGGATCGCAACCCTCGGTGTTGCGCCCACACCGCGCTCAACCAGTGAGCGGACCGGTCTCTATATGGGATCCGAACCCTCGGCAGGAGCGCCGCCACGCTCCCAAGTGCCGCACTCTACCGAGTGCGCCACCAGGCCAGCCCTAAATATAAAATTTTAATTGCAAGCGGGATGCCATAATTCCACTTGATGTTGGGAAGAGCTGGTATTTTGTAATACTTTGGATTACCAAAAAAGTGGGTATTTTGATAACCAATTCTTCATTTTTCTATGCTTATACTTAACAGAAAGTGAAGGCTTTCATCAAAATCTTGGTCCATTTTTGAGGAGAACAACAAAAATGAAACAAAGATTTTAAGAAATTCCATTGAAAACCTCAGCCCTCAACAACGAGTTAGGCACTTTCTTTTAGGATAAAAACTGATTTTTCAGATGTTTTTAGCTGATGACTTATGAATTACCTCCTTTTCTTGCTTTGGTGAAGAAAGTAGTGGTGAAAAGTAAGGGTGTCATTTTCTTCCTAAATTCTTTCTAACTAAAGGAAGTATTAAGATCTGAAACTCAAATTAGACAGATTATTTTATGCCTTGCTGTTCATAGTTTAAGTATTTGGTAATTGGGAAGGTTGAATCTTCTGACTAAAGTAATCTTTTAGAATTGAACATACTTGTTACTTTTAATCATCTATGCTACCTATCCCACAAAACCAAGGAAAATGTTTGGCCCACCACATCTTATAGATAAACTTTATGTAAAGATGCTGGCATGGAAACTTTCTATTTATTCACCATTCATCACTAAAAATATGTATATTAACATACCATATAATTAGGATAATAAATACAGAAAATAAAATACGTAGTAATTTGTAACCAGTCACATGTAACCACCGCTAAAGGTAATAGAACAGACACTGTTTATGGCCCGATGCCTTCTGCTATGTTTCTTTCACTTCCTTCCATCTACTCTGTTTCATTGGTTCCATGTTCAAGAAATAAAGGCCATATTGGAAGAGAAAATTAGTACATGGGCTCCTCTTACCTCTTATGACAAGATCACATTGATTCGGTTATAGCCTCACAGACACTATTTTGTGAACTCCGCCCAGACTGTTTTCATACACTCATCTGGGGACTCAGAACAAAAGCTTTCGCTGTTTCCCTTGTCCCTCCTGTGATTCTGTTTGGGCCCTGACAGAAGACAGAGCTCAGCACCACTACCATGGACGTTACTAGATTATGAACTCCACAGTGGCAGGCACTGTGTTTCTTTGATCCTCATGTGCTCCCAGGCCCAAAGCTGGTACCTGGCATCTAGTAGATCCTCAATGCAGAATTGCTGCAGGAGAGAATGCACGAGTGTTGAAGGTGTGTGTGCTTAAGCCGGGCAGGGAGAGAGGGAAGGAGGAAAGCCCTCAAGTCCCAGCTTGGCCACGACCGTGTGCAGGTTGATCCATTGCTCATTGCCTGTTTTCTCATCTCAGGTTCCTGCATCACGGCACATCCCCTGAGTGTGACTTCTGTACCTGGTTTTACTGATGTCACCCCTTCTCCAATGCTCTCCACGATGCCCGCTGCCTCATGGCCTACAATCACAGGGAGAGGTGAGACCATGTTTCCAGTAACCACATGGTCATCTGTGCGACATACTCCTGAGGCCACCATCTACAGAGTAAAGAGAAGATGGTTAGATTCAGAGAATATTATGACCGTCAACTGGATTTAACATATTCAATTTCCTGAAATTGAGCTTCTAAAGAGTTTTCAAGAATTTTGCTCATAATTCCTACTTTTCCCAAGTACAAGAGATTCAGTTTTCCATAAGATTTTCCAGTCCAAAGCTCTCCTTTATCTTCCTGTTCTTAATTGAACAATTTAGAATAATCTGTGAAATAATTGATCCTGAAATATTTATCTTACATAATAAACAAGAATGCATGCATTTTACATAAGTATAAATTGCAGTATAACACCAAGAAAATATCTAATGTAAATTGATTTTGAAATCTTAATATATATCTTTTGTTCTTTTCTTTTGTACAAGTGTGCAAATTCTTCTTTATTTTACTAAAATTATACTGTACATACTCCTTGGTCACTTTTTAAAAATTTAACAATTTTCTGTTTGTATCTCTACTTGGCAACAAATATAAATTCATTTACTGGATGACCATGTACAAAGATGACCAAGTACAATGAATCTTTGTTTTCTTCCGTTTTTAATATTCTCTGAATTTTTAAAAAGCAAAAATAATAGAAGTAAAAAAAAATGTTCCACCTTAATACGAACTTCATGGGCCTTAGGAGGTGCTACCTCTACCTCCTCAATGGAAAATGGTTTCTTTAGCTCCCATAGCACAGCTGCTTTGCATTTTATTACCTGGAAAATTAAACAGATTGATTATACAGGTAGTTCCCCATTCTTGAAGTCAGGGATTATGTCTTTTCTTCTTTATAAATGCAGAATCTAGCCCCACATGGTGACTAAAAAGTGCTCCATAGAAGTGACCATTCTTGGTTTCCTAAGAGAACAAAAAGACCTTTTTAAAAATGTGCAAAGCATGAAAAAACAAAACCAAAATGTGTAAAGCAATACTATAAGAAAAGAAAAACAGAATTAAATATAATAAGACATTGAGATAAAATGGAATATGTAATTTTAGACCATCCTCATGTTTTTCTCCAAAGGTGTTTATTCCTGATATTTACTGATGCTGTCCTAAAATCAGTTGGTTATCCATTATTGTTAGCTTGTAAGTGAAATTGTAAGTCACTATGATTCGAGGACAGTCAGTGTCTGTTCACAGAAAGTCTGTTGCTCCTTTGCTCAATGTTCTGCTGAAGCCAAAGGATCTAACGGTTACGTCCTTGCCTTCCTGCCTAGGGTGGCTTCTCTTTGTCTCTCTGCCTATTCTCCTCCTTTGATCTGCTCTGCTCACCACTTCTGTGTGCTACTCGTTTGCACCCCTCATGTGAAACTTAGCTTTGGCCGCCTGTTTTGTTATCTAATTTATGTGTGGAGACTCCTTCCAGATTAGATTTGAGCCAAGAATTGCAGAGGTTAAAGCTCACGGCGTGTGTGTGTGTGTGTGTGTGCACATGAACACACACTCACCCACACACATACATTTCAAAACTGGAAACCGTGTTTGAATTTCTTGCTGATACAGCGTACTCATAGACGTTCTTAAAGAGAAACGTTGAACCTATATTTTCAGGGCTTGGGAATGTACCATTAAATCTGTCTTCTGTGCTGTAAAGCATGTACATTAAGAGAGCTTTTTTCCCAGTGAGAATTGACATAATTGTAAATATGATTTAAAATTCAATCGAAATTTATTCTTGTCCAGTTCATTTTCAATTCAATACCTTTGTCGATTTTTTTCCACATTACAGGGTGTTCGCCATGGTCCATGATAAAATATGAGAGCTCTTGGAAATAATACACTGGCTCGAGTAGTGGGTAGGTCCTGAGTATCGGGTGCCTATGATTGGCAGGCATGTCGTGGTCTGTTTCGGGTGAGTTACACATTTTATCTTTATCCTCACAAGGATGCTACCGGGACAGTGTTGCTGAATTGTTGACCTCATTTTACATAAAAAGATTGAGGCTCAATTGACTCAGTGATTGAATAATTTCGCCAAAGTCACAAAGCTGGCTGTCTGGAGAATTAAGATGAATCTATCCTTACATTTTCACCACCCCACGGTGGAGAAAGTTATGAAAATGTCAAAGAAAACAACCACAACAATATTGATAGCAGTTACTATCATTTATTGACTTATTTCTATGTTCCAGGCACTAGTCTATGTGCTTCATGATTTTAATTTATGAAGTTCTCAGAACCACCTCATGAAGCAGATGTTAGTGCTCTCATCATTTAGCACTTGAGGACAATAAAATGCAGGAAGGCTAAACGTAAACGAAGTGTTATCCGAAGCTAAGTCGTTGACGTTGCACCAGAGCGGGGAGCACTGACCGCCTCTTTCAGCACTTCCTATTGTCATTAGGACACTTGGCTCACGCTTCTGCTCTATGAACTCATTGTTTCTTTCAAGCTGAATTTTGGGAGATTTAGTTTTTCCTTTTCCTATCTATTTTTCATTGGGAGGAGAATATGACACTGTAGATATTAATCAGTAATGAGTAAAAATAAAGTGAGTTAGAATGAGGACACAGATAATCACAGACTTCCGATTTCCAGTCAATCTTGTTGATAGGAGGCTGTTGTGCCACACAGTATGTATAGAAACGTCAGAACCTCAGACTGAACTATCATAGTGAGTTATTTTACTGCATGATCCACTCCTAACTAATGAATGGACTGGAAACAGTTGTGTAGGCTTTGATAATTAAGCAATTAAAAAACAAGAATTGGGGCTGACCCCGTGGTGCACTTGGTTGAGTGCAGCGCTGGGAGCGACGTGGCCGCGTGTTCATATCCTGTATAGGGATGGCCGGTGAGCTCACTGGCTGAGCGCAGTGCGGGGGACACCAAGCCAAGGTTTGCAATCCCCTTACTGGTCACAAAAAGGACAAAAACCAAAAAAAAAAAACCAAGAATTTTTTATATTGAAAGGTTGCACCCGTTTCTCTGTACCCATAAACACATCGAAGAATAAGTATAACTTTATGGCATGTTTAGAAGCAAATATCTGTGGTCCTAGTGCTAATAAGTGATTTAAATTGTATTAGCACTAATTTTCTATAAAATCATGGTGACTTTTGTATGGAGAAGATACTGTTCGGTTGTTCAGGAGGATTTCTGTGAAGTTTGCCTGAATTGTGCATAACGGGCTCCTTTTAATCAGAATGTGCATGTTGAAGTCTTGTTTAACTTTGATGATTGTAATGGTTGAGATCAATATGTCTTTTGTAAAAGATTTTATAGTAAGGTTAAAAGGATATTCCAAATTCCTCTGAATCAAATTCTTCTCCTAAAACTTTTGTCAGACTTAACTCTTCTGTGTCCATAAAAACATTATGTTTTTGTTTTTGGTGGCTGGGTGGTGTAGGGATCTTAACCCTGGACATAAGTTTTATCAGCACCATGTTGTAAACAAGTAAGCTAACCAGCTAGTCTATAAAAAAGAATATGATTACAAAGAATAGCACATTTAAATTATGAACACTTAAATGGCATATTTATATTATTCTTAATATAAAGATAATTTCTGTTTAGAGAGTTCGAACTTTAGATTTACATATAGTCACCATTACCTTGGAATATACACTGACTTTAACTACTAAAATTTTATTTAATGTAAGAAATAAAGACTTCAATAGGTACAGGTTCTATACATTCTTGTGAAAGATGTTTAGAAATAGCATATTTTCATTGTTGTTCAGTATACTTTGTGTATTGTAGCATGGATTGCATATTGTATTTTAGTGTATCTTCTAATTCAGATATGAATTTTAAATTATTTATTAAATACTGTATCCGTTCATTAACTCTATTAATAAAAATATATTTCCAACAGTAAAATCTTTTTTGCTTACTTTTCCTGCTGTGCTCATGTTGTTTCTGTGTTCTGTTGAGATCAGGAGACTGGTGAATCCTTGTGGACTTCCTCCTTGCTCCAGCACATGAATATATATTGCACAGATATTTTGCTTGCTTGTGTAATACCCAATTCAACATGTGATCTGGATCTTTAATCTGCACTCATCAGCTATTCTCAGACCAAGTCATATCAAAAAGAAAAGGGCACTGAACCAGCATTCAACCTTGACTTTGTAATATGTCAATTTTGAAAAACATTTTGTTTTTATTAGGTTAAATATTTCCCTACGCATGAATTTTAATCTCTCTTCCCCTCTCTCTTTCAGATTTCATGTTTTTCCTCTCTGCATCTTACATAGGTCATTCAGAGTACTGTTTTCCTTTCATCTGTTCTAAGCTCCGACTTGGAATCCACAAGATGCAGTTAGGAAGGAGAAGGAAGCAGGACCAATGAGTAGGACACAGGTAGTGGAGCCAGAGGAGCGAGTTTGATCCAGCACTTCCTTCACTAGTGCAGAATCAGACCACCCAACCAGTCACAGCAGAGGTCCTGGGCATTTCTGCTCCACACAATATCAACCAGCAGTGACTGACCATCTCCCTGACCAGGCACTGAGCTGGGTCCAAGGGGGAGGCAGTGATGAATAAGAGATGGCCTCTACCCATGTCAAGAGGCAGTGTTGGGCAGTGGTTAGGACATGCTTGTGGGATCAGGCAGACCCTATTCCTTGCTAGTTGCATGAGCTTGGACTTATCATTTAACTGTTCTTTGCCTTAGTTTCCTCATCTGTAAGATGAGGATGAAAAATCATACCACTTCAAACCACTTTTTTGTGAATAAATAAAACAATCCATTTAAAGCACCTATCCCAGATCCTTGCAGGTAGGACAATCTTCACCAAATACTCACTACAATCACTATACATGAGAGGAAGCTCACATGTATATTGGGGGGAAAGGGCATACAAGCAAGCAAGTCAGCATATCTGGGCAGTACTGTGTCACAGAAGGATATTTTGGTTGAAAAACTCAAGGAAGCTTGGTAGAGAGCAGACTTCTACATTGTAGATTAAATAATGATTATTTTGACAAATAGATAAAAAAATATCTCATTTGGGCATTTTAGTTGTTTTTTGTTCAATGCCACAAGTATGAGAAAGAGAATACGAGTTTGGTTTTTAATAAATATCAAGACTTGTAGTGACACTTGAGAGTCATAGTGCATTTAATTACTTAATTATATGTAGTCTGTCAACATATATTCATAAACATAAACTGTATGTTTTTCAGAATTGTCAAGGGAACAACATTTTTGTTTGTCTGTTACCACCTTTAATTACACAGGTGTAGAAAGCCTAACTATCTTCAGAGGTGTCTCAAAGCTGGTAAGTGGCAGCAGCAGGATCCTAAGACACATCCCTCTGAATCAGAAGCCCATGTTCTTTTCACTACTCTGTGGGAAAGGAGCAGGACAGGACAGAGTTTAAGACATTCAGCTATCTCCCCACAAAGGTAGCCTCTATATTTTGCGAGGCCTAAGAAAAAACACTGTAACTGGCAAGGATCTCAGAATCATGCCATCCAAATTCTTCCTTTTATGGGCCAAGTGACTTGGCAAAGCAATGTGGTTAATATTTATTTTAAAAAAATTGGAAAGGAAAAAGATATAACTGTTCTGGTGGGTGCATGAAGAGTCAAACTGCTTTCAAATATTTTCGTGTTGAGGCAGGATAATGAGCAAAAAATTTAAGCAGCTATGGAAATGTGTTTAATCTACCTAAATCCAACACCATAAATCAAACATTTCACTTTGACAATGAAGCCAAAGTTGGTGAGAGAGTTAAAGTTATCACCTTTTTCTCAGTTAGAAAATATTTTGCCATCCTTGACACTGGTTCTGGCATAAAGGGCAAATATAGAATATTGAAAATGTTTGTTCATAGAGCTCCCTGTGAAAGGTCTTGGGGAATAATCTCAGAGAAACCGAAGGCGATGCTATACAGATGCTCTTGGCAATTTCCTCTGAGTGCCAAATTCAGAAAAATCTAAATGCTCAGCAAAGAAACTGACATCATCAAGATAGAAGAATAGACAACTCCCAGTGTCTCCCCCCCTGCAACTGATCAATTTACAACTTTTAAAAAGCAAAAACCGTCATCCTGGGATCACTGAAGCTCAGGGGAAGTAGATGAGAGACCTGCAGAGTTCATGAAGGTGTGAGAGGTCATGGTGAGAAAAAGGAGGAATTATGTTTAACATTCCAAACCCTGGCCACTTCTGAACCAGTGTGGTATGCGGGGGGTGGGGGGGAGTGGCTACCAGCACATGAAGTGGCAACCAGAGGTTGGCAAAGCTGCAGCAGCACACTTTGCATGAAGTTACTTGGAATCCACAAGGAAGAAGGGTGTTTTGAAGTGCACCATACCATCTCCCAGTCCAGCAAAACCCACTGGCAATCTTCCCCTGGACCCACATAGAAGTGAAGGGCCACAGCTGACTGGAGGAAGGAATCACCCAAAGGTCAGTGAGTCTGCTGGGGACCCATGTCTAGCTTGTCCTATGGGAAATATTTGAAGTGTGGGAAGGTTGAGGCTGACCTGTCAAGGGAGCATTGAGTGCAGCATAGGCAGATGATCTGCCTTCTAATCACTCTGTGCAGACCAGTCAGGGCAATAGCATTGCAGGGGTTGCAGTCTGCAAGAAAGACTGAGTCCTAGGTGGAAATTTACACACAGTCCATTTGTGTCTGTGGTGACCTCACAAGTCCTGGAAGTGTCTAAAAGGCCTGCAATTAAAATCTGGTACAAAAAACCTTCTCCAGTTTGAGAATAAGCAGCAAAACAACATTTTGGCTCAAGCACAGAGCTCATTTTCCTGTACTCACAGGAAGTTCCTCCAATTTGGTAATTAAACACAGTAAAGCAAATTACTTCCAGTGCAGAGTTTAAGTGGTGGTCATGGTTAATAATTCATGAAAGAATAGACAACCCCCCCCCCCACAGGCCATAGACAAAACTCTGATATTAACTAGTAAAGTGCTAAGACAACCAAAGAACACCTGTAAAACCTAGAAGAGGTAGCAGTCTCCTCAAATGTCCAGGCATCAATGTAAAAACACAAATTGAGAAAGAGCAGAGACATATGAAACCAACAAAGGAAATAAACAAATCACCAAGTAATGGACCAGAAGAACAGCAGATTTATAAAATATTTGACAGAGAATTCAGAATAACATCTTAAGGATGTTCAGGGAGTCACAAGAAAATACAGATAGAAAATTAAATGGTATCTAGAAAATAATTCAGGAGCAGAAAAAGAAACTTAACAAAGGAATAGAATAAATTAAAAAAAATAGAAATTTTAGAAATAAAGAATATATTATTTGAACTGAAAAACTTGATAGAAAGCTCCATTAGCAGAGTTGATCAAGCAGAGTAAAGAATTGGTAAGCTTGAAGACTGAGCATATGATATTATCCAAACAGAGGAGCAGAAAGAAAAAAAAAAAAAAAGAAAAAAATGAAACAGAAATAAAACAATCATGGGACTCCTTTAAGTGAAATAACCTCCACATTATTGGTATAACCAAAAGGAGACAAAAAATGAAGAAAACTTGAATGCACATTTAAGAAAATAATGTGTATTAGTCTATCTCTGTTGCTTATAAAAGAAATACCTGAAATCTGGGTAGTTTGTAAAGAAACAGTATTTATTGCTTACAGTTTCAGAGGTTGGGAAGTCCAAAGTCCAAGGAATACATCTAGTGAGGGCCTTTTCTTAGTGGCAACTCTACAGCAACACAAGGTATCACAAGGCAAAATGGCAGAAGTGAAGAGAGAGAGCTAACCCTCTCTCTGTCTCTTCTCTTAAAGCCCTCAGAAACATGCCCATTATCACCATTAAACCATCAATGGATTAAAACTTTTATGAGGGTATGGTCCTCACACTCTAATCATCTCTTCCAGGCCCCATTTTTCAGTTACCACAACAGGATTTCCCATCTTCTTAACCCTGTCCCAGTGGGGGTTAAGTTTCTAGTATGTGGACTTTGGGAGACACAATTCAATCCACAGCATAATGGCTAAAAATTTTCCATGTACACAGAAAGATGATAGCATCCAGATACAGGAAGCTCAGAGGTCACCAATCAAATCCAATCTACAGAGGAACACCCCAAGATGCACATAATCAAATTATCAAATACCAAAGACAAAGAAAGAATACCAAAAGCAGCAAAAGAAAAGAAACACATAACATTCAATGGAGCCCCAATATGTCCCTCAGAGGATTTCTCAGTAGAAATCCTACAGGCCAGAGGAAGTGGGAGGATATATTCAAAGTGCTGAAGGAAAAATATTGTCAGCCAAGAATTCTGTACCCAGCAAAACTAACCTTCAAATATAAAGGAGAAAGAAAGTCTTTTTCAGACAGATAAAAGCTAAGGGAATTCATCAATACTAGATTTGCAGTATAAGAAATGCTAAAGGGAATTCTTCAGTCTGAAAGAAGATGATGCTAAAGACTATCAAAAAAGCATTTGAAAGTACAGAACCATAGAACTTACGAGGAAAGTAAGTACACAATCACAGAATACTCTCATGTTTTAAGAGTGGTGAATAAACCACTTATATCCTTAGTATGAAGGCTAAAGGACAATCGTAATAAGACAAATACAAATACAATAACAAGACCAATACAAATACAATACAAGACATAACAAATACAATAACTGTATAAGAGATAGTCAATATTAAAAGATGTAACTAAAAACGATAAAAGGTCAGAAAGTGGTTGGGGTGGGGAGAAGGATGCCAAAGCATAGAGTTGGCTTTGGGTTTTTTTCCTTATACATCAACATTAAATTGTTATTAGTTTAAAATATTTTTTTGTTACTATACCATGTTTTTTTAAGCCTCATGGTAACCAAAACAACAACAACAAAACACAAATAAAAGACATACTAAATACAAATAGTGAGAAATCAAAATGTACTGCTAGAGAAAGCTACTCAACTGCAAAGGAAGAGAGTAAGACTGGAAAAAAGGATCTATGAAAGTCCCTATATATCAATAATAACTCTAAATGTAAATGGATTATATTACCCAATTAGACAC